GTATAGCTTGTGTCAGGAGTCCCTTCCTTTTCAAGGCTGAATAATATTCCACTGTATGTATGGACCACATTTTGTGTATCCGTTCATCTGTGAGTGGACACTTGGGCTATTTCCACCTTTTGATTATTGTACATAATGCTGCTGTGAATGTGGGTACACAGATATCTCTTCTAGTTCTTTCAATTCTTTTGGGTATATATGTGATAATTCTGTGTTTCATTTTTTGAGGAACCTCCTTGCTGTTTTCCACAGTGGCACTGCGATCATTTTACAATGTTACCTTTTAAACAAGGTTTTCATTAGACTTGCTGTGTGTTCTGATTATCCCATCACTTTCCAGAAAACCAGTGTGATATATCCTTTGACTTTCCATGGCCCTGCATGATGATGGTCTTTTCCTTCACTCTCCTGAGCCTCAGCCTTTCCAATCTTTTCAGAGTGATGTAATTGCTCAGAAAGTCGCTCAGCCATAATAACCTCAAGTAAAATTACACTGCTTGCTTTCTTTTAGCTATAGACGTTTCCCTCTGTGTCCTACCTGTTCTCATTAGCTGTAGTTATTATACAAGTCACCAGTGTACTATTAACAATATCATGATACAACCACCTACATCCTATTAACTCCCTCTATTACACCGCCTACATTGATCTTCTTAATTGAATCTGTGGTGCTATGTATCCTACTTGTATGCATTAACTATATCTGTCAGATAGTCTGTCCCATTAGCTATATTACCCAGTCTTTTGCAAACATTGCCTAACTTGCTAGCATCCTCTTTATAATATCTTCAATGCTGCCTAGTTGTTGTCTGTTAAAACTGTTCAACTGTTTAGATCGTAATAGGTCTAGGTATCAGAAGCCACCAGGACACATCATTGAATCTGGAGGCCTAGCCATGAACAGACCCAGTATGCAGGGGATTTTGGCCTTAAAGTACTCTCTTAAGGAGGATCTTTTCCTTTGACCAATACCATGCTGCCCACCAGGCTTTATGAGCCACATTAATGGTATGTGTGTTTGTGTGTGTGTGTGCGTGTATGTGAATGTGTATGTGTGTGCATGCATGGGGTCGGGGTTGCTGGGATATGGGAGTTGACTGGACAGTGTGGATTGGAAATCCTGGTGAGAAGGGAGAGCCTGGAAGGAGAACACAGAGTGGGGAAAGGCCGGGGGAGTGAGGCCTACAGGATGAGGTCGGTGTTCATTTGTCAGGACAGAACCCTTTTTGATGCCATCATTTTTGTTAATGGCTGACAAGCCTGGATGACTGCATCATAGCAGCCCTCAAATGTTGCCAGAATGACAGCCCATCCCAGTTTCTTTTTCTGTGCTCATCTGAACCCTGATGAAGAGGAGGCTGTGCCCCAAGCATCCCCTCCCCGCCCTGGCAACACCTGGACCACATCGGTGCTTGGGTAGCAGCTGCTACAGTCAAGGGCCCTGTGCCTGTAGCCGGCAAACCGCAGAGGTGGATGTTGAGGTCTGGTGTCTCGGACGGGCCAGGCACACAGCAAATGCTTACGAAATACTGGCTGGATGCTGTGCAAGGGGCACATGTGGCGTCTGTCTTTCCCTTGTCATCACGTAGCTTACTCCTGAGGCCAGGAAAAGGTAAGAGGTCCTCGGCAGCCATCTGGTACCCACCGGGGTTACTGTCTGTAGGAACGCTCCTGTTAAAAGGGCCAGTGAGCTGTTTACATAACAGCTTCACACATAGACTATATACATTGACTTCTCAAGTGGTCCCATAGGAATTCTTTGCAGTTCTGAAACACTTTTTATTTTTTTTAATTTTATTTCATTATGTTACGTTAGTCACCATACAATGCATCATTAGTTTTTGATGTAGTGATCCACGATCCATTGTTTTCGTATAACACCCAGTGCTCCATGCAGTACGCGCCCTCCTTAATACCTATCACCGGGCTAACCCGTCCCCCCACCCCCAATCACCTCTAAAACCCTCAGTTTGTTTCTCGGAGTCCACAGTCTCTCATGGTTCATCTCTCCCTCCGATTTCCCCCCCTTCGTTTTTCCCTTCCTTCTCCTAATGTCCTCCATGCTATTCCTTATGTTCCACTCTGAAACACTTTTTAAAAGCACTACCAAATCTGCGATCTTATTTCATGTGCTTCTGTTTATTTTTGACCTGCCATGGTGTACATGGAGAAACTGAGCCCCTCCTAGGGTCTCATAATAGAGTCAGGATTACAAGTCTCCTAACTGCTGTCTATCCGCCTCTGTGCATGGCAAACAGTGAATGGTAGAGGGAATTTTCAGGGCCTAACTGGGGTCCAAACTGAACATGCATATGCCACACTTCCGGGCGGTGTTGGGGATGTTCCTCCTTACAGTTCTGTGTGCTCTCCAGGAGCTTTCACAGGGATGTCCCTGGACAGCTGCAGAGCCAAGCACAGCTGTCCAATGACCCAGGCCCAGCTTTGTATAAATAAAATATCCCCATTCTCCCACCTCCAGAGCCAGCTTCTGGGTTCTGTGTTTACCAAACACCTGCCAACGCATCATCCTAAACACAGCTGAAGTCTGGGTCCTCTCCCCATGCCTGAAGCCCCCTCCCTAATTTCTGCTTCCTGAGCTCACTGAGGAGCAGATGTCAATAGGTCCCCTGGCATCTGTGTCTGAGGGCCACCAGGCAGGATGGGTCCCTTTTGAAGCTTGAAAAAGTACCTGGCTGTACTGGGCCGATTAGTACCCCGCCCCAAATTCATGTCCATCTGCAACCTCAGAATGTGACTTCATTTGGAAATAGGGTTTTTGCTGATGTCATTAGCTAAATGTCTTGAGAAGAAATCATCCTGGATTTAGAGTAGGCCCTAAATCCATGACTGGTGTCCTTCTAAGAGGAGAGGACACAGAAGTACCCAGGGAAGAAGGCCACATGAAGACAGAGGCAGAGATTGGAGGTATGTTGCCATATGTCAAGGAATGTCTGGGGTCATCCAAAGCTAGAAGAGGCAAGGGAGGAGTCTCCCCAAGAGCCTTCAGAGAGAAGGTGGCCCTGCCAACACCTTGATTTCAGACTTCCAGCATCTAGAAGTATGAGAGAATGCATTTCTGTTGGAAGCCACTGAGGTTTGTGGTAATTTGCTCCCAGCAGCCAAAGGAAGCTAACACACTGGCTGACTAGCAGACAGGAGGCAGGACTGTAGGACTGGGCCTAGAGCCAGGCTCTTGGAAGTCCTCTGCTCCCCTCACTTCTCTTGCCTTCAAGGCCTAGGAGAATTCTTGTGCCAAGCCAGTAAAGGAGCAAGTTGAAAACAGGAGCTCAGAGGAAGACCAGGGCTGGACTTCCCTGTTACCACTCTCATCTTGGTGGAGAATGACTTCTGTGTCCTCGCCCCAGTATTATTACTACCTTTCCTAAGTGTCCATCCGAGGCCAGGCATCGTGCAGGCCTTTACATCATGTTGTACATTCCTTCCTTATATCTTAGTCAACTCGGGCCACCCTAGCAAAGTACCACGGACTGGGTGGCTTCAGCAACAGACCCTTGTTTCTCACAGTTCCAGAGACTGAAGAAGTCCAAGATCAAGATGCCGGCTGACTTGGTTCTTGGGGAGGCCCCTCTTCTTGGCTTTTAGATGGCCACCTTCTCTCACCATGTCTCTATATGACAGAGAGCAAGGAGGCAAGCCCTGCGTGTCCCTTCTTATGGGGGCGCTAATCCCCATCGCGATGCCTCATGATCTGATCTCAACCTATTTACCTCCCCAGGGCCCCCCCTCCAAATATGCACTGGGGGTTAGGGCTTCAACACACGAATGTGGGGGGACACAATCAGTCCATGGCGTCCTATAAAGACTATTAATAAAGGTGCTCTGTCCCTCTCCTAGTTTTACACCTGGGATTCGTCAGGTAGCTCCGGGTCTCACAGCTGGCAAGCGGCAGAGCCAGGGTTTGAACTGGCATCCAGGTTCACCTCAGAGCCCGCACTTAACCACTATGCCGTAGTCCTTGAACTTCCAGTAATAATAATCGCAGCTGCTTGTTGACGTGGCAGGAAGAGAGCCTGAAGAACCGCAATACCCTCAGTGGCTCCCACCGCCTCCTCCCTGCTTCTAGCGCTGCCCTGCCTGCCCCTTCCTGTGCAGTAGCCACAGTCACATGATCCCTGTTCCAGGGGTGGCCCACGGGACATGTTCACACGTGAGGTGGTCTCTCTGGTCGCTTATCCCTGTCCCTTTCCATCTGACAAACTCTTGCTTACCCCACATGGCCCAGTTTAAATTTGCTCTGTCTACATCATTATCTAGCACATGTTACGTGGCTCACAAATCCCAGTAGTGTGTGTGTGTGTGTGTGTGTGTATCTTTCCCAAGCAGGAGTAGGATCGCCTATTTTGACATCTGGCACCTTCCACAGCATCTCTGGATCTCCAGAGCTCCTAATAAATGGTTGAGTAAGTGAAACATGTAGAAGACATGGAAGTCATTCAGTGACAAACACTCAGCAGAGAGGGCTATTAATTGAGGAGGAGGAGGAGGAGAAAGAAAAGAACATCAGATATTCTAAGACAAGTACTTATAGAAGGAACCACTAAAAGCTTTGAGTTTTGAAAGCAAATGTTTAATTTAGGCTTTCCCTTCTGTGTGCTTACAGATGGCACTCAATTCCATATAACGGCCAATCTATATTTTGAGATTTACTGTGGGTCTTACGGACTTCTCTTCTTTTTTGATTATTAACTACTTTAGTTTTCTAAGTACATATTCTTTAAAAGCTTGTCCTATTTCTAAACCTGATTTCCGTTTGAGAGAGCACACCCCTCATTTTATGCTGGCCCCAGTGGGAATGCAGAGTTCAAGTTGTTGGTGTTTCAGGTAGAGCACACTTTCCAGGAGGTATGTGTCTTGATGTGTCAACTGAGGCCCATGTTGTTTCTTGAGTTGCCTTCCCCAAAGGGGGACAGTTTGCACCTCTGGAAGGTCCTGCCCCAGGAGTATCTAACCACTCTTCCATCTCTGTCCTCCCCCTGCAGGCTGGCCATATGTGACCCTCTCTGTCCTGGGATTCCTCTACTGCTACTCCCACGTGGGCATCGCCTGGGCCCAGACATACTCAGTGGACTAATGCCGCCCGGCCGGCACCAGCCCTTCCTGCTGGCCTCCAAGGCAAATGGTGCTTCACCCTGACCTCGCACACCAAGATGACCTCCAAGGAACCAGTGCTTCATCTGCCCATCTTTTGTTGAAGTTACCTCACTCCAAGACTGGAAGCTTGAGCTCTCATAGAAAATTGACAACCAGTGAGGCTTCTAACTTTGGGGACCCAGAGCTCATCTCCCCCAGCCCCATCATTTTCCTGTTGAGTAAGCAGGGGTCCATAGCAGTATTATCTTGCCCAGCTGCACATGGTGACATTGTGGTCTAGAACCCAGTCCCAGGGGCCCTTCGGGTTCTTTCTACTTTACCAAGAATTAAATGCAATAGACATTTCTCAACTGGAGCACAGAAGCCCTGATTAGTGATAAGGCCTGTCCTCCACTGGCCATATTTCTGAAATATTTTGCTAACATTTAAGTGACCTCTTCCCCATGTCCTGCAGTGTGGTCTCTAGAACCAGCACTGAGGTCTGAGCTTCCCACTTCAGCTCCCTAGCAGGGAGGAGACAAAGCCACAGTCAAGTTTCTCATTGCCCAGTCAAAGAAGACACAGCCTGTCAAAGAAGACACAACCTGTCCTATAGTGTTCCAAGGGGCCAGTACCTAAGGAGATCTGTTATTGGAACACCGTCACTGTGATCGACATGTGGATGCTTGTTCCCTAGATTTGCAGAGAAGTATAAACATGGCAGTTCTTCTACCAGACAGTTAATCTTCATTTCTCAGTAAAGAAGCAGAATTAAGGAACCATGAGCTAGCGCGTCCACAGACAGGTGCTATCAGGCAAGTGACAAAGGGTAGGGATGGTTTCCTGGGGTCTTTTCTCCTCTCCACACAAGGAAGCCCCCAGCTTCCTGCTCACTGGTGTACACTCAGTGGTTTACATTGTTTTGTTTTGTTTCAAATAAAATGGAGCCTTTTCTGTCACACTGATATTTCACATTTTTGTAGAATCATTTTGAATGTTTTTTGAAGAAAATGCTTAAAATTTAAACACCTATAACTCTTATTCACTCCTCTGGAAAGTGGGTGACAGGCCACTAAATAGCCCCAAGTGGTAGATAATGCTGAGTATATCTGTTTGGCTTTGGATTTTTTTTTTCTTCTTTTTTTTGAGAGGGCAAGTGGTATGTGAAGAAGCCTGGAAGTTTGATCCATACCGTACCTCATTATGGGAAACTTAGTACATCTCAAACACATGGATAAAATTGCTATTGAATGAAAGGTTCCCTTGGACCTGGTCTGGCCACACATCTCTCATCTGCTATCTGGTGTGGTCCTTGTGTCCTGGCCGTGGCTTTTAACTCAATGGGATTCATACTCCTGGAATGCAGGACTGGCCATCTTGCTGACATCCTTTCTTCCTACCCATTCTGCCCGGAAGAGCAGATGTGGGTGGAGCAGGCGGTGGGGAGCGGGCCTACCCCAGGTTGACTGCTGCAGGGAACAGACCCAGAGGGGCAGGCAGGCTGACAGCAGTGACCTCAGGAGCTGGCTGAGTAAGGGCCCGGGAGGCCCGGGCAGGTGATTCCAAGGTGCTGGGGAGTTTCAAGGAGGGAATGGCCCTGGGAAGAGTGAGCACTCCAGTAACTGTAGTACAGGATCATGGACTAACACTAGCTCAGGAACTGTGGCCAGCCACAGGGAGTCTGGCTGAAGTTCACATGGAAGGAAGGGGCTGGTTAAGGACACACAGGGGCGTGAAGATGATTGTAGGCAAGCGTCTGATGTATGTACATACGTAAGCAATACAAAGAATTTTGCACTCTTCAGAGACACCGTTTATGTAAAAACAAATAGGTTTATTCATTCATTCAACTTATATTGGAAGAATTGGTGAATATATTTGGAAGTAATAACCCTGAATTTCTTTTAAGCTATTACATGATTTAGAGTGGTTCTCGGGAATTAGTACGTGATAATTTGAGGCCTGATTAAGCAACATGTGGATTATCTAGGACCATTGTTTTCTTTCCTTAACCTCTTGCTATTCTCCAACTGTAATATGAAAATGATAATAGATGTCTCTTCACGCATGTGAAGTAAAAGCTTGGATTTGCTTTAAATGAAAGATTCTTGAAGTACCTGGGAAGACAGAGCAGTTCCAGCTGAGGAGCATCTGACATGTCACTTTGCACAAGCCATCAGCCCTGGGCAGCTTCAGGCATGGGGTTGGAAAACAACTAGACAAGGTCCTAAGGTCACTTCTAGCCCCAGGATCCTCTGACCTCAACCGAGCTCTGTGGGCAGGCCAGAGAGCTACAAGCACGATCTGAAGGACAGCCAACCCTTCTTGGTCATTTTGACGAATTCTTGGGACCGTGCAAGAAGACTTCAAAGTATTTTATTATTCCTTCAGATTAATTTGTTTGAAGTGACAGCAGAAAGCCTTTTGTTCTATTAAAGACTGCAGGCCTAGAAAGAAAATATATCCGTCACATATCTAATTGTATAATGATCTATACATCTATACAAGATGGTAATTTAGTGGGATGGGGGTTTGCCTTAAAGAAATTGTGACTGCTCACTTGCTTATTTAAAATAGTAATTATTGACTACATATAGAAATTAACCATAATATAATGAGTTTGTTTTCTAACAAACGTACCAGAACATATCCACACAATAGGACCAACTATTGAGAAGCCAGATTATCTTGGCAGTGCTGGCCTTCCTCAGTGGGCATTGAGAAACCTGAGGCCCTTCTTCAGGGAAATTGTTTTATTTTAAAACAAACCAGCAAAATCCCAGTAACTGACACCCCTTTGACACCCAGAATGTAGTGTTCATTACTTAGCTCTGTATTACTAGTCCTTTTGACTAATTATAAAAATCATATTCATGAAGAGAGATTTTTTTTCACTATTGAGGATATATAAAGAACAATATTCAATGCTTCATTAGGTGAGACTTTTGAATGAATATCAATCACTTGGAATTTTAAATACTATCACCTTTCATTTATTTTTATTATGCTTTTCTGTGGTGTAATGAAATAATAGGTTGGAGAGGACACCATTAAAAATGCTGTATTCATACTATGGCCCCATGAGATCAAGCAGAGGCCCGAATATGGCTTGCAGATCACAGATTCCTCATCCTGAATTAAGTTCTGTCTACAAAAGAAAAGTGCCCTTCTTGAAATGCGGTCCACTGGCATGAAGTAAGAAAGGTTGACAGTCCCGTGGAGAATCTCACCACAAGCAGGAAACAATTATTAAAGCAAGTATTAAAACTTGCTTTTTAATAGTTCTGGAGCTATTAAAGGGGCGCCTGGGTGGCTCAGTCGTTTAGTGTCTGCCTTCAGCTCAGGTCATGGTCCCAGGGTCCTGGGATCGAGCCCCGCATTGGGCTCCCTGCTCCGCGGGAGGCCTGCTTCTCCCCCTCCCACTCCCCCTCTGCTTGTGTTCCCTCTCTCGCTGTGTCTCTCTGTGTCAAATAAATGCATAAAACCACAGCCAAACCGAGAGTGCTGGTATATAGGACTAGTTCATTTAGGGGCAAGCAGTCCTCTACCTTATTAGCTTCTGAGACCATCCGTGAATTAAAGCACAGATCAGAACTCATATGGTTGATGTGGAATCACTCCAAAAAGATTGTTATGTTTTTTACACTCTATTTTAAAAGGCAGGGAAGCATTAATATATCTTAAACAGATTTCAACCCAAACTGTTTAAAATGTAAAAGTTCACTTCTAATTGGGAGGTCACGTTCAGATACGTGTTAAATCAACGTGTTGAATCAATGCCAGCTTTGAAGGCATCTCGGGACGTCTGAAGAGCAGACACAGCCCTATTTCTGGATCACAGGGCAAACCACCTTCACAACCGTTCTCTCGCTGTGCTGTACTCACACACACAACCTTGGGGTCTCTAGAATCCTAAGGTCCCCAAAACTGTACTCTCCAAATTAGGGCCTCCCAAGCTCTTGAGAAGGAATAGAAAGTACCATTCCTTGTTCTGTCATCTTAGGTCAGAGCACCCGATTCAATGCCTTAAAATTATGTAAGAAAAGGCAAAAGCAAGTATCATGTATAAAATAGTTTATTACCATAATAAATAAAATTAAACTTTTTTTTTTTCTACAAATATCATTTGTGCTTGTTTAAAAATGTTGAGAAGGGTATATCATCAATGGAGGGGCCCGCATATTCCTTATTGTTCCCAAGCTGCACACACACCCTGGAGTTTCTGGAAGCATCCTTAGCTGACCATAAACATAGTATCAGCTCATCTGCACTTCTGTCTATTCATGCTCATTTGGACAAAGTGGCAGATGCGAAGGAAAAAGAAAAACCCAGTGAAGGATTTGGCGGGACTCGATGGAAAGAGTGTCAATATAAGGAGAAGCCCCAGATTGACGAACTGCTCAGGAGTAGAAGTGTCCTTACGGCACTGGCGAAACGTCCGATGCGGGCTGTCTCCAACTGATGCACAAATACAACGTCTGAATATTAAGAGAATACATTCATTGGGGCGGGGGGAGGGTGCATCTTCATGAAGATCTTTCTCATTGTTCATATCCTGATACAAGATCCGTGAACTTCTCATTGAACAACCGGTAGCTCCGTTGACCGACTCCGAAGTCACAGATAAAGAGACAATGGCTCTAGGAAAAGTTTAATGGCGGGGCGGGGAGGGCACCCACCGGGTCTGGCACCCGCGGGGCACTCGAGTCCAGTTCTGGAGGTTCCAGAACAAGTCTCATTTGCTCGCGTGTGAAAGAAGTTTCATTTGAAACTACTTTAAGCTGCAAATTCACATTGATTCTTTTGAACTGTGTGTGGTGGTGGGGGGGGGAGTGGGAATCAAACCTTCTCAACATGAATACCTTGTGTGAGAAATGGTGCTTTCTGATGGCTGTGGTTGGTGTTGAGGGGACAGTGAAATCCCCCCCAGCTGGAGGGCACAAGAGCTGGTGAAAGTATTGGTATTGAAGCGAGCGAGAAGGCAGTACAATTTCGTGACAGAGGAGAGGCTACCCTGGGGTCTGAGTGTGCCCTCGGTGGGCTCCTCTTTAAGCAACACGACGTGAGGAGGGAGGAGGGGGAGTGTTGGCAGCTCCATCCCAGCTGGAGTTCCATTCAAGGTCTTAAGGCTAAACATCTTTATTGCAAAACATTGTACAATCTAGTCATCAAATGCACATCAGCAACTTGTATCTCCACCAGGGCTCCAAAAATTTTCCCGAGAGTGCACGTGCCGTATGGTGGTCAATGCAACGAGGAGACAGGAGGCTCTCCCTACACCTGGGACCCCTAAGGCATTCTTTTAGTCCCCACAAAGGCTTGGACAAAATTTCTAACGGTTGGCTCCTTACCTTCACCTTCCACCAAAGGATTCAGGAGGGGAAGCTTGCGGGATGGGGTGCCGTGGCGCAGTGCATTTTTTACTCTGAGCCATGCTGGCTCCGCTTCTGAAAGAAGGTTCCAGAAAAGGGCCTGATGTTTGGCCAGGCCAGCAACAGCACAAAGGATCTAGAAAGCTGAGGGTAAAACAGGCCCGGGAATTGGATAACAAGGAGCGGGAACTGCTTCGAACCACTTGGGCCCATATGCTGTTGTAGCATCAGAGATGTCCTAAGCCACTGGTTGCCTGCTACTGGCTACAATTCTGCACACTGATGTAGTCTGAGGTTGAGAGTATAAAAAATGGTCTTAGAAACAAGCCAGGTCTGAGCATGAGAGAATGGGGTGGATGAAGGTGCAGATATCAAAGTTGTGCACGAAACCAGGGCTTCTCAACCAGAGGCCTGCCTCCCTTTCCTTCTGGGGGAACCTTGTCATACTTGGTGGAGGCGTCCTTGCAGGTATATGGGCCAGCAGCACTCAATGCTGGAGTCCGCATCCTCCACCGAGAACGAGCGCACCATCTCGTTGGCCGTCTTCTTTCACAGACTCAACCCTCACCCCCACACCTCCATCAGTGGGGATG